GAAGATGGCAGATGTTTTTATTTATTTCTCTAAGAACGAACACACATTTAATCTGCTACTTTGGTTGGAGGCTGTCTACCCAGGGGTTTTTTTCTTTCATAAAATAAAAATAATTGTGTTATCCATGCAAAACTCTCAAAAAGCTTAATGACAGCATAAAGCTACTGTTTCGAAATCAAAGAAGAAAAGCTCTCATATTAGAAGGAGCACTACAGCGCTATCTTTTAAATTCATGAATTATTCTCTGTCAGAATCAGGACGACTGGCAGCTCTCTTAAACAGACGGGGCAAAATATACGACTGAAGGGGCCTTTCTTAAAAAGCAAAGTCAACTAAATGAACAAATAGAACCCTTGTTTTATAAATTGTACACTTCCCTTTACTTGTGTTTATAGCAATTTAACAAAAGTTATAAAATGTTTTGCTGTTTATCAAGTGTTAGTTATTCTCAGCTAAAGAGGAATATTTGAATATTTTTACCTTGATATAAACGTGGTCCGTATCGTCCAGGACTGACTTGTAATCTGCTGTTTGGAGGAGTCCACTTTGAAGTCGCAGTCAGTGACTGGGCTCTTAAAAATAATCAGATTAACCAGCGTTTCTGTGGATGAGGTGATGGATCAGCTGTGTTTGATCAAATAGACTTCATTAAAGTTTGTTAGTGGACTTTTGTTGTGTCCGAGGCTACAGCACAAGAAAACTCAGTAAATCACATTTTATTTGTACCGTGATCTCTCTGTTCATGTCGTGTGTCCTCAGGTGTGACTCACGACAGCTGCAAGATAAAGGGGATAACAATAAACGCAGACAGGCACAGATAATGTCACACAGGGGAAAAAAGAGCTCACTTCATCAGAATATACACAATTAGATCCAGTGACTCTGTGACTTCAGTTTGCTTCTGCATGGCTCTGCCTCTCAGCCCTTTCTCATAGGAGCCATGTGAGTCCAGTTAGCTGGTCAGGGTAGAGCTGATTAACTCTGAAAGAGCAATATTGTTGGATGCATCTTCTTAACTCCCAAGCCACAGAGCAAGGAGCAAACGTTTCTGTTCAGCCGACATGGAGCTTGGTGGATCATTAATAATCTGCCAATTTTTAACTTTTTTTTAAGTTTGAAAAATGTAACAGCTTTTAACTATCTGATGATTTTCGTACTGTAGCAGGAGGACAGAGTGATTCCTACGTCTGAGAGAAGAGAGGATGACACCAGAGTGAAAATGGACGTGTGACTATCCAGCTCGGACTAGTAGTTAAAAAAAAAACTGAGAAAGGGAAAGAAATTAGCTGGATTTGCATTAAAGGGAATGGGCGTTCGGTGTTTGTGCGCGGGTCTGTTTGCTTTGTGGTTAATCAGTACAGTCTGCTTGTAGTAAACCAAAGCTACGCGATGGACATTTTGTTTTTGGAAGTAACGTCAACACCGGACAGGAGCTGATGTAAGTGGTGCTCTCTGGAATCGTTTATTACAGCAAGATCTTGTCTTTAAATATGAGAGTTTTGTCATCTGCATGTCTCCGGTGTTTTTGCAGTAAATAAGTAGATAAGTAATATTAAGACCGTGAATATTGGATGCAAAGGTCAAATCTAAAATCATGGTTTACCCAGGTTTTGATGATGGTCATGATTCTTGTTTTTATTTTAATCGAGAGGAAAAAATTCCGTTGTTGTTTTCAGAACATCTGTTGTTGTTTTGCTTCAGTAGTAAAATAATAAGTTTTGAAGGATTGGACTGAAGTCGGTGTTTGAGAAAGAAGCTGTTGACCAGGACTCTAATGGTCACTGCAAACATCAGATTTCTCCTTTTTTCTTTTGCAGAGCTGCTATTTGCTTAATTGTGCGTTATTCTGTTTTACTTTATTTTACTTTTCTTTGTCTGCACCCACATATTCTTTGATGGTTTCGAAATGACTTTGCCATTTCCTTTAGGGAGTCAAGGGACTTTTTCCACGAGGCCTCGTGCCTGATTGGCTCTGGGCCTCTTGGGACATCTTAACCACGACGTCTCTATGGAAGGCAGGGCCAGACACCTATTTTGAGATAAAAAAGATAATGTAGTTTCTATTTGTGTAGCCTGGATCAGCAACTCGGCAAGGTAGGGTGCTCGGGCACAACATTATCTCCATAGCTGACCACAACGTGCTGTAGTAGAAAATGTCGAGGAGTCGTTGAAGCTGGATAAACCCTCACCTGTCAGTTTAAGATTGTTGCTCTCAGTTGAGTTTTTACTGCAGGAACACAGCTTTTTTGATTTAAAATGTCTCGTTAGAAAATAAATGCTTACAATGCATCTAGAAAATAGGAAATATACACTGAAATCATTTGTAATATTAAGTAATAATCGTTCAGATGGATTAGATCAAATTATCATACAATTATCATCATACTTTACTCTTATAGTAAATGGCGTAGTTGTCCATTAGGGATCAAAAGTTGAATTTGATTTGTCAGACATTTTTTTTCTCAGCTTAGAAATATTGTTAAGAAGGAATCAACGAAGAACGGATGAATTTAACAAAATCTCCACTTCATCAACTTTTAAAACCACGTCGCCATTTTTCTGTCGCTTTCCCAGTGATTTGATTATGTAATTAAATCATATTCGTGCTGACAACCTATCACATAATAATTAGTGACTGCGCCACATGCTGTCTGACAATGGATGCACAGTGATCCTGTGTAGCTGCAGTTACACATCATGTGTATCAGTGGACGGCCATTTTTAAGTTTCCTTCAGTTTCCAGAATGCTCTTTGGGTGTGTCCGGTCTTGAACATTCCTCTTCATACTGGCTGGGAAATAGCATATTGAGTAATCACGATGGCATGTGATCATTTGGACCCAGAGAGTGGATCCTCTGTCCTCTAAATATCTCATATGGAGAAGGAAATGGGCACAATTAGGCAAAGGGCCGAGAGGACAAGTCAGGTCTGAGGGAACCGGAAAATTATTATTTGGAAAAAAATTTAGAAACTGCTTTCCAGGATAAATGAAGGGAGAGGTAGGAAGTGTCGTGTGAGGAGATCGGCCACAGTTGGAACCTAAAGCCACAACGTCCCCCTCAGGAAAACCACAATCAAACCGTAAACAAATGTTCCTCAAATGTGCTTCAAGCTCCGGGCAAGCATTTGACTTTAATTTGGTTCTCAGTTTTCTCTTAAGTTCATCTGTGTTTGAGTTGAAGACATTAATCTTGTGTCCAGAGATTCCGACTGTGCTTTGCAAACATAGATATCCACTGTTGGACATCAGGGGGTTGCTGAGTTCTTCCTAAACATCTCCACCTCCATGACGTATCTCTCTGTTGTTTTTGTTGCTGAAACGGGTCGCCCCTCCTTTATCTCTGTTTTAGGGCGGCTGCGTGGATTCGTCCAATCAGAGCCTGGCGCTGCTCTTGATGACCCTTGGCCAGCAGGACGTGTCAAAGGTTTTGCTTGGACCCCTCTCTCCGTACACGTAAGTCATTGTCCCAGTGAACTTTACAAACAAGTTAATAAACAAATGCACAACCTCACATTTAGTTATTCTTCTACTCGTCCTCTCCTGGACAGTGATTGAAAAGTTGTCCCACTGTCGGACACAATGTACTGAACAACAGTAGAGATAAATACACATGGGTTTGTAATACATAAGCCTTGATTATTGATTGTTGTAGTTGTCAGTGCAGTTCCTGGTAAACACGTCACTAAGCACAACTGAATAAGTCTAATTAAGTGAAAATGAAATAAATAGGAGTTGCTGATGTACATTAAAGTTATTTAAACGTAAAGATAAAAAATAAATGTATTTTTTAAATATTATTTCCTCTTGCACTTGCATCATTACAGTACAAGATACAAAGGTTCTTGCTGAATGTGTGAAAGATATTTACATGTAAAAACGTTTCTATGATAAATGACAGAAAGAAAAATAAATCTTTTAATGTGTTTAATGATTGAATGAACACAGTGAATTTCAGACGTCATCATCGTCACAAACGAGCAGCGAACTATGAACTGTCCATTTTCAGTTATCATGGTACCGGTGCTGTGTCCCTCTCAAGTACAGTACTATGATAACTGAAGATTGGCAGTGCCATCACAAACCATTCTTCCCGTCACACAGGTAACAGTGTCACTGGTGTTTTGAATACAGTTTGAATGTATTTAAATCTTTGTTTTTGCTTGTCTCTGTTAATGTAGAATGTCCTTGTCTTGTAATATAATGTGTGACATCCAAATTTTAAGATTTGAATGTACTGTGCATTAGAGAGAAAACCTGAAGTAGAACCAGCACACTATGTTCTGGAATCTCAGTGTATTTCATTTATTGATAGTTTTAATAAATATTTTATCCACCACAGGGTAAACTCCTCTCCTTTAGGACAATGAAGTTTTAATATTGGAATTCGCCTTAAGCAGTAATGCATAAAAATGAAATTGGAATTTAATTTCCTATGTTAATGCCTCTATGTCAGCAAAAGCCGCGGCCGGAGGCAGCATGTCTTACGTCTTCAGGTTGTCCGTCCCATTCTCGTGAACGTGATATCTTCAGGGGAAAAACGACAAGTTCGCTTCCTCAAACATCGTCACTCAGACAACGCAAAACTGGGTTGTCGCCATCATTCAAGATATAGTTTCATATTTTTTTAACACATTTTCACACAAATGTCAAATTGGATAAAATGATGAAGTGATGACGTTTTATAGATTGTGACTGTATTTCCTGCAACTTGGAACCATGTATTCCTGGTTCTTAATGACTCTGCTGTCTCTCTCTCTCTCTCTTTTGCCCTCTCTCCAGGATCGAGTTCCTCAAACACATTAGAGATTTCTTCCAGATCATGTTCAAGATCGAAGTCCAGAAGCCGTTAGAAGACGAAAGGAAAGGAGGAGACAAGGTCCTGATGACCTGTGTAGGAGTTGGTTACAGCAACATGAACAAAACTCTGAAATAAAATAGGTATATTTTTTATATGAATACTGTAGTCTTGTCTTGTATCACATTGCTCACTCACATCTCACAGTAGAATATAGTGCTTTTATTTAGTTAAATGTGAAAATTAGGACAATCTCTATTCGTGTGCAACTGCTGGCAATATACTAGAAGATATCTGTTATATTAGTCACATGGAATACAGACAACTTTACATTTAGATATTTATCAGGATCTTAACGTCCATGAACATCAGCTTCCTAACTCTTGATGCTTTCTGCATAGTACTGAAGTTACATCAATGTCTGGTTGCACATTACTGGAATTCTTTTAAAAAGCATTTCTAGATCAGTTCAAGATATCGCCAGTGTTAGAAAAATATATCATCGGCATGAAACGGTCAGTGACATGTAGTTCTTCCTTCCTAATGGAGTAATGCTGCACTCTACACCACGTGTTTCTCATCACAGGAGTCGGGAGGAGTTAGTCATCTTGGCCACAGAGATGCTTGAGGGCGTCTCCGTAACTGCCTGAAACTTCAGACTGCAGAAACGGAGGGAAAAAAACAAAACTGGGATTTGTGTCTGGTTTAAGAACACGTAAACAAAACTCTTGCCCAACATTTAAAATAAGACAATTCATATTTAGCCATATTATCAATATTAATATGGAGACATTTCAATCTGACCTCTAACTGGGAGTAGAGGGAATATCCAAACAGCTTCTTGTACTCGGCTCTGATGTCCAACAAATCAATCTCAGAGCGACTGACAATTATCCTGGTGATGATGGACTCCGTGGTCCCTGCACCCTGGATAAATGAAAAGGTTTGATCAAATGTCTGCTCTTTCAGCAATGACCATATATGAAAAGTAGCAATGACCTATATTATTATTTTTCTTCCCTGTACTGTGCAAGAACTTCTGCTTCTGTGCCTCCACAACTTTGCATTATTTTCAATCTGCTTTTCAACCACTGTTGTGCATTTAGTCAAAGCAGCAGCAGCAGCAATACAACGGTGGCTTAACATTCCCTTCCACACCAGCAGTGATCAATACAACTGTCTGTTGTGCATAAAACGGCACAGAGGAACCAAACAATGTGTGGATTTGATTGGACATTTCCCAGCTTACCTTCATGCTCTTGAAAAGTAACTCCGCGAGGTATGCAGGAACGTTCTTCACACATTTCACTACACAGACAAATAGGTCGGGTGAGATGTGTGTCACACGTGCTGTGGTTCATTTTTACAACGTTTTTTAAAAAGGAGCAAAAATGGACCACAGCTAAATATTGTTTTGAGAAATTGTGACACATTTTTCTCACCGACAGCCACCAGCAGCCTCTCCAGGTCTCCAGACATCTCGCTCTCAATGCTCTCCTGCAGAGTCTTCTTGCTAATATTCTTGTACTCGACCAAAGCTGCCAAAACAACAGAGATTTAAATACAGATTTTTTTTTTGTCTTGTTGAAAATGTGACAGATTTGAATTTATGGGGAATAGCTGTGTTGTCCTGATCAGTGGTCCAGTCCAAAATATCTCTACGGCTGTTGGATGAACTTTCATTCATCTTTGTACAGATGTTTATAATCTCACTGGTTGAACCCTAATGACTGTGTGACCTTTAGCACCAGCATGAGGGCAGATATTTTTGGCTTTTGGTTAAATGTCTTCAAAACTACTGAGTCTTCATGGACAGTGAAAGAACGTGACCCACTCTGTCGGAGCTGGGGGATACTCCGGTGACACAGGATGTCAATGAACTTCTCCTCATCCGTTCCCCACTTCTTCTCCCCTGCTTCATACAGCACCTGAGCAGCAACAAAAGGTGGGATGAAGAAACACGGGTCGACTAAAAACACACATCAATGGTTCAAATATAGTAAATGTACCTTTGCATCTGCTCGAGCTTTGGCAGCATCCGCATGGGGGCTCTCGTCTCTCTTCCCCTGTGACAAGGAACAGAGGGAAACAGAAATGAATTGAATGTTGTGAGACTTTTTTAAAAATATCTTTGTCACAATTCAACATCTGAGGTTGAGATTTCTAACGTTGTAGACAACAAATTCTCTTTACTATTGAGGCCTTTAACTGAAGTCTGATCACTTCGTGTCACATCAGAAAAAGATAGTTTTGTTGACACTTTGGAGAGTAGCAGAAAAAGGGGAAATGTAATTAGAAATAAAATAAGAATAAAAATAGAATCTAAAATAAATTAGATAAAGTAGAAATACTATATAAACTGCACTGTAAGCTGTTCTCTACATGTGCAGTATTAGTTTACAGTAAACAGTACCTACTAACCCTTACGTTAAAATTGTGCTTGAAGAAAAATATGAAAATGAATTTATTACAATTACATTTTTAATATAGGATTCCTAATAAAATGTGTTGTTTGGGTGTTTTTGGAAAAACCTGCTGATACCATGTCAATGTTTAAATTTGAATGTACAATACCTCAGCCAATATCAGCAGTGCTTTTCCATACTCTCCAGAAACCTCCGACTTAAGATCTTCAATCATTGATTTTCCCGTCTCTTGAATGAAACAGCACAACACAAACAGATTAAAATAATCCGATGACGATCATCTGTTTTCTGTTTTCGCAATAATTGGAAAGTTCTGTGAAGTTACAAACCTGCCAGGTATGCTTCAGACAGGGCTTTAATCTGTCTGTTGGACCTCGAGGAGAAGATTTCTGTCAGCGTGCTCTCTGTGGTGCCTGCTCCCTTTATGTGATGCACAAAACGTGAGATGATAGAGATAATAAACATCATCTGGTTCTTTAAAAAAGTGAATATTCATGAATACAAACTTTGTGAAACACAGTCTCACCTTGATGGCTCCAATTACTTCGTGACAGTCATAGAGAGCAGGAGGCGTTACCAAGGCAACCAGCAAGTCCTCAAAGTCTCCGTGGGTGTCGCCCTCCAGGTCATCTACTAATTTCTGATGGGGGAAGGTTGATGATACACAAATATTACTCCACCTCTCATTCACTCGGAGAATGAATATTCATTCTGAGACCAGGAGAATATGAGAGGTTTTAAATAAACATGCAGTGGCATAATACCCTTCCTGTGGCCTTCTCGTAGGCTTTGGCAATAAGCTGACGCTGAGCATTGCTTCTTTGGGTCAACACCTCAATCACTGTTTTTTCTGTCGTACCTGTAAAGAAGAGGACGACACGAAACAGGCTTACAACTTACCCTGCACTTGGAAAGTTATAGTTAATACAACGTTTCATAAAACGTCAAGCTTGTTCCAGAAAATGAGACACTTATTGAAATATAACGCTTAATATGATTAAAGTACTTCAAATTTTTCTCTGATTTAGTTTAGTATCTATAATATAAAGTGTGCTGATAGTGATAAAGTCAATAGCTTACCAAGGCCCTCTATGGCCTTCCTCAGTGCAGACACATCTTCATCCACTTTAAAGTTTGGCTTGTCCTTCACAGTTCCTCTTGAACCGGACTGATAAACACAGGTACATGACACATGAGCACCACAGTACAATAACACATCCCTGCATGTAGAGGTCAATATATTATTTCACTGTTGATAATTTTATATATGAGATGCTGTTATGTTTAACAGAAACCATTAGCAAACTGTGGTAATAATTAGAACCATCTTTATAATAATGCATCTCTAAGAAGGAAGAGAACTTACTGTCACAGTCAGTGAGGAGGGGGAGTCCAAGAGCGATTCCAAGTCATCCTACAGCATGAGTCAACACACATTTATACACATGATCACCTATACGTTTTCATATTCAATTTAAACCACTCATATAGGCTGTTACTCACCCACACAGACATTGTAGAGTATTTAGAGAAAAGTCTTCAACTATAGGGAGGAGACAAATGATACAGAATTAAAATGTGCTTTATCACTACACACTGATCTAATATATTCTCTCACACGTAGATTCCTGCTTGTGATTGTCTCTCCACAAACGTTTCTCCCATTTCCTCCTCTAACTTTCACTTTTGTCCCCCACTTATGTCAAATCTACACATCACACTGGATAATCCTTTTAAAATAACTTCCCTCACAGTCAACATAGGCGGAGTAAAATCAAGCCCATGGCGTGTTTAATGTCGATCGCAGCAAACTGGAATATGATAATGTTCCTCGATCAACAATGCGTAAAAACGCACCAAACCATGGAGGAGGACAGTGAACAAACGTGTACGTGCGTAAAAACTGTGATCAGAATTCAGATAATACATTTTTCTTTCTTACCTAAAGCGAGAGTATGAACGATTGATGTCCAAGGAGGAATTTCACAGTTTGCTCAACTCACCACACCTTTTTCAGCTACAAATCCGGAAACACCCACGAGAGGGAGGTGAATAATGTTGACGTTTGACTCCTCCTCATGTGTGCACAGAGCTGCTATGACACCGGACCAGCAACAGGATTTACAGTCTTCTATCCTGTAACTTGACTCACTTGTGAAACAGTTTATCTGATCTGATTATAAAGTGACATCATCTGCTGTACATTCATATTCTTTTTACTTTTAAAACACAAAACAAATGGGGTAAGGGGAGGCAAGGCAAATTTATTTGCATCTTATTATCATACACAGGGGTCATTCATTGTGCTCTGTGGGGAATAAACCGAACATAGATGTACAGATGAAATGCTTAAAAACATTCCAAACATTAAGTTTCTGATAAAGTATAGAAAAGATCAAATTACAAATCAGATCATGTCTTATTAAAGTGCATGATTAAGTGATGGCACTGGATAATAATAAACAAAAGCATTTCATCCTGTTTAGTTCCTTTTTTTATATTTGGACTGCCATCATAAGTCATAATAAACTTTTAACCTCTGTGACAGTGGGTCTGAAGTCTTGTTTGATTTCAGGGACAGGGCATGTATGAGTCAGAGAAAGAAGAACTTGTTTTCAGTCTGACTTACATCTTGCATCATTGTCACTGTCTGTTGCAAAACTAAACAAAACAAAAAAAGCCTCTGTGTAAATAATATTAGATTAATGCAGACTACTGGGCAATCATTCAAAATAATGTAGCTAGTGTCAGATCAGCATGAAGATCCATACCGTGTGTGTCACTACTCGGCTTTTGCTATTTATTAATCAAGTGGTGTATTTAGCCTGAGGTCAACACTCTATATGAATATGCAAATGTATATAAAATCCAGATGAGGAATAAACGTGATACTGAAGAGGAACAGTTGTGACATCATGTGGCCCTAAAGGAGCACTGCATTGACCAGACCAAGTGTTGAGATAAGACGAATAAGTGAACTTCATGAGTGCCTTTCTGTCTGTAAGGAAAGGTTGTTTTTTTATTAATCGTGCTCTTATTCAAACACCCTACAGAATAATATAGAATGGGTGTAAAAATGTAGACAGAAACATAACATTGTGATTTGTCAAGCTAGTGGAGGGAAATAACATTTTGATCAATTTCAGTCTGGAAATTACACAGCATTGAAACAGCATTGCTTAAAGTCACTAAGGGCAGACAAAGATGAATTCTCTATTTGAATTGTTCTTGATTTATCTGCTGCCTGCGACTGGTCACACATTTCTAATTGACAGAACTGGCACTGCTGGTTCTTTTCATACTTATCTGATGTGTTCTATTCTAAAAGAAATAAAAAACAAAGTAAAATAATAAGAATAAGAATGATTATGTTGATTATTATTAAATTATTAATAATTGAATTGCTTCGTTTAATTGCAAGATATTATATTATTTTATATTATATTACATATCAGACCACAACTACCTCCTCTTGCACCTCTTTTTTAACGTCCTGTAATCAAGTTTATTTTTTTAAATATTTTATTTCTTCTTTTACAAAATGCACCTTTCAGTGGTAGCTGCTGTAAATTTCGCCATGCTTCATTGTGTGATGACATTAAAGGCATTCTATTCTATTCTATTCTATTGTATTATTTTGTGAGGTGTCAGTTTATAACCTTAACTCGCTCCATCTAAAGTTCAAGCACATGAAGGACAAGTTGAGGACATTTGTCAAAAACTATGAACAAACTATAAACAAACCACGCCCATTTCCGCATAACGGAGCCGTTGACAGGACCAGCTGGCCAATCAGCAACTCATGCGGAAGTGAGAGCGGTTTCATTTCATGTAAACTGAGCTGGAAAAAAAAGATCCAGGCATCATCAGCCTCCTCCGGGTAGAGGAGGAGACCCTGCCCGTACTTTGACAGCTCTGTGCGGACGTGTCAGCGACCGTTGACCCGTGTGACACAGCCGGTTTACACGGTTTGTTTTCGGGGGGAGCTAACTCCCTCGAGCTAACTGTGAACTAAAAATAAGCTTGAAGCTAACCGGCAGCATTGCTAAAAGAAAAAAAAAATAAGTATGACGTTGAACTAGCAACTTGTTAGCTGGCTAGCGGCGGTGTGGTGGCTAGCCAGTGTTAGCATCCACACTGTGTCACCCTGTCATCACTTTGGTAACTACCTTATTATTCAATACTTTCCATTTATCTTAACGTTTTATATATTTAAGGAGCGTTAGCACCGCTTTAGCTTCCTCCAGCTAGCCTCTGGTTTTCTCCACAGGCTAACATTAAGAGGTTGTTTGTCGTGGATCAGCTGTAGCCTGTTGTTCTAACACGGGGAACGGTCAGCTGGAGGTGTGTGTGTCTGTGTGTGTGATGGACGCAACAAGACAGCAACAACTACAGGACAACCACAGTGGAGACATGGGAGATGGAGTTGGACTCTCCACACACATGAACAACACTGGGGACGTGCAGGACACCTGTGCCCGCTGGACTGCTTGACTTTCTGAGGGCGTTGGACAAAGGACCGGAGCTTCTTTGTCCACATTAAAGCTTCCCCCGAGGCAAGAACACATGAGGGGGATAAGAAGTACACATCACAGGGTCCACCCTTCTGACACTGGAGTGATGACGATGATGATGTTCAAGACCCTTCTGATCACCAGTCTTCTGGGCTGGGTAAAATGTCAGGAGAGCCATAGCATGACACCAGAGGAGAAGACTGTTATCAGGTGAAAAAGGACATATTGATGCTCCTAATCTGTGGTTATCAAAGTCTCTGCACTTATTTAAAAAGATATCTGGCATTTTCCCATTTGATTAATTTGTGTTTCCCACTTTTTGCAGGGACCAAATAGTTGAAATGTTTGATCATGCTTACGGGAGTTACATGGTAAGGTGTCTCTCTGTATAATAACCATAATTTGTTCAGATTTGACACTTGAAATTGAACTAAATTGAATAACTTTTATGTTAGTTCATTTTTTTCCCATGGATCTTTTGAAGCACTAAGTAACCTTTTTTACATAAGGTTTTATTATTATTACATTTATATATAAGCATGTTCCTGTTCTCTGGAAGGAAGTTTTTTTTTTAAAGTGCTCACAACCAATACATTGTGCCCTGTGGCCTTCAGCAGTTACATCCATTATACATTGAATCAGTGGCAGGACAAAGTCCTCACTGCTTTTGGACCCAGTTCTGTGGGATTTGATTACAGCTGCTGTCTTAGCCTGTTACAACAGATGCTAGTAAATATTCTGTGATACAGGAGTCAGGCTTTTCCTCACGTCAAGCAAGCAGTGAGGGGATGATCAGGTCATGTGTGACTTAATTCATTTAGTGGTTCAGAGTTTTAAGTCTAGGTCTGTGTAAATACAAAATATGCCAGAGTCTATTAGAGGTGAGAAAAGAAACACATGTCTTTAAGGATTTACTATAAAAAGCCACGTGTTAAGTGGTTTGTTGTAGGTTACCCAGATCACTAATTATTTATATTCAAGCCACATACTAGTAATTAAATCTCTGTTACAACCTGTCCTAAATCTTATTCCTAGACCAGCTGGAATATGTGAGAAACAAAAAACTGTACCACTAGTGATGCTGCAGTTGCATTAGCATACGACTGCTCATTTCCTTTTTCCCTATAGAGAATTTTCAACCCTCCAGCCATGTTTTCTTAATGACCCATTTTTAAAATATACCATTATATGAAGCCTAAACAGTCACTGTTGTTTCCTTGGCAGAAATATGCCTATCCAGCAGATGAACTGATGCCTCTGAGCTGCAGGGGGAGAGTCCGTGGCAAGGAACCCAACAGAGGAGATATCGATGACTCCTTGGGAAAGTATGTTCATAATCCACTAGTATCACCAGTCTAGAAAGATCCAGGGAGGTTAATGAGGTCACAGCAGTTAAATTCCTTCATCATTAGTTCAGGTTTCACTTTGACTGCTGTGTCTCTTTACAGCATTCCTTCAAAGTGCTGTGTGACAGTGTTTTAAAGTTGTGTCTTGCAGACCACAAAGAAACTCATATAAAAACAACTGTACATTTAGATTTTTCAAGAAAACTTGAAGCAGATGCTGATCTAAATGATACTTACCTGTAAAATTATATTTACTTGAAGGCTGTAAATTATATGCTTTATTTATAACACGTATCATTATGTAATTTCACTGCAGATGCAACAGATTTGACATTTAACAGTCTGTAGCTCATTATAAATTAAAGTGGATCAATGGAAAAGTGGGACACCAACTCCACTGTGCACTCCCCCCACCCCCATCATAACAATTCTTCCTCTCCTGTAGATTTTCTCTCACATTGATTGACACCCTTGATACCCTGGTGGTGAGTAAATGCTTTTCCTGTTCCCTAGCATAAAGTGTAGTTTTTTTACTTTTTTCCCCTCATTTTAACAGTAGATATATGTGTTCCTGTCTTTTTGTGTGTGAGCAGGTGTTAAACAAGCTTGATGAGTTTGAGGACGCAGTGAGGAAGGCTGTGAGTGAAGTACGCCTGGACAACGATGTGGTGGTGTCTGTGTTTGAGACCAACATAAGGGTTTTGGGGTATGAAACATGTCTTTAATGTATTCATGTTCTTTTTAATAGATTCGTTTTAATAACAAAAGTAAAAAACCATTTAACAGAAATGTCCTCCTGTATATAGTGTTGTATCTTTCTACTGCATTTTGTACTTAATGTAACATAATATTTCTTCTGTTCCTTCATTTAATTCTCCTCAGAGGGCTCCTGGGGGCCCATGTAATGGCTGACCTGCTCCGTCAGCGCGGGGACAGGATGCAGTGGTATCAAGACGAGCTCCTGCACATGGCCAAAGAGCTGGGTCATCGATTACTGCCTGCCTTCAACACCACGAGTGGCCTTCCCTACCCTAAGGTACTGCTTATTTATTTATAAATATCACAGGATTTTGTTTTGGATCTTAAGTATGCAAATACAACATCATCATTATCATTTTCATTGCATTGATAGAGAACAGAAGTAATGAAGAACACATTTCTTATTTTAGTAAGTCACTAAA